GATCATTTCGAAGATACCTCACCCTTAAGCCAATTGCAAGACATCCAGAAAATAGTTTTCTTGCTAGACTAATGCTAGTGATCATAGTGATCAGTCAGTCCATTCAATTTTTCTCTAAACGTGGGATACTAAGCTACCATTTTGCATTTCCCAGTTCATTCTGCTTTTTACATAAAGCTAGGTCTATTAGAAATGTTCTTTTAGGATGATGTGTTTGTTATTAAGCATGGAATGTTGCTTAATCCTAAATCAAGGCTTCATTGCCTTTCTACCAGTGAACATCCTTGCTCAAAATAGTTAACATTTTGTGTAGGAAAGCAGAGAAATGTTCTTTTTTGCTTTTGTCTTTCTGCATCCATGAAAGCATCTACTAACTCTTTGAAACATTAGTATTTGCTAATATCTTTTGAGTTTGTCCAGAGTACTCAGGTATTTTGGCCCATTTTACATATGTAGTAAGTAATTTATTCTGTATGAGTCAGGCAGAATTATTTCTTTATCCTCTCCCATCTTTGAGGCACAAAAAACTGAAAAAATTGCACAAACTACTTATATTACAGGATGTCTTCTACTCCTCAGAAAAGGGTATATTTTAGCATACTGTTTTCTAGTGCTGGATTGAAAAGGGAAATGGTGTCCCATTTAGTTTCAGGAAATTCAGTCTGTACATCTGGGGTCTGAAATTCAGTCCTGTAACTGACACAGTAATCTGCACTTAATCCCAGACTATTACTCTGCCCCCGAAGAGTAATGAAAGGGGAAAACCTTCTGTATTTATACTAGATCGGACTCTAGCATGTCATTCATTCTTTTGGTAAGTTTCGTGCCCAGTCGAGTCAGGGCTAAGATCTGAAAGAGGGGAGAGCAGGCTCAGCCAGGAAAGAGCTTTTAGGAATCTTAAGTCTTAAAAACTTGCAGTTTTTTCAAGGGTAGAAAAATTGGCCAAAGGTGGATGGATTGTCAGAGGAATAGCAAGAGCCGGTTCTGTGACACAGTGTTTCAGCTCCCTGCCAGATTCAAAGTTCCTGCTCCAAACTCCTTGTTTGCAGCAGCAAAAAGGTTATTTTTTTCAAAAAAAGAGTTTCTAGAAATCTCTAAGGAGGGAAAAGCAGATCATTTCCTTCCAACTGGCTCAGGTACTTCCAAATTATTATCACTGAGCTCATCACTGACATACAAAATTTCCAGCTGAATGGCTAAAATCTGAGAGTGTCATAAAAAGATGTAAACAAAGTCTTTACGCTTAAAATGTCAGAATACTTAACTGAAAAGATGTGCTGACATCCTAAACTAATATTTCTTGTGTTTGCACAGATAATTTCAGATGATGTAATAGGTCTTCCATACAAATTACAGGTAAAATTGAAGACATATTTAAATGCTTTAGATTTATAACCATATGTGTGGAATAATTGTATTCATCAGTTCCCCATTTGCAATAAGAACTATTTTGACCAATTTTTTTCAAAGCCTCTACTTGCATTTGACATGAGAAATGGGTTTTCCTTTTAACAGGAAAACCAACCTAAACCAAAAATTTAGATCTAGACTTTTGGTGCCATGGCTAGTTTTAGTGAGTTACTTGAGAGCAGGGGAAAAAAGAAGTATGCGTCTTTGTATCAACTTATAAAACTAAATGTTGAAAACTTCCACTAACAGCATGAAGCACTTATCTCTCTTTAGAGCCTAAGGGATTTTTAAGCATGCCTCATTTGCCTAGTGGTATCAAGAGCTTTAATTTTTTTGTATTTTTTCTTTCCCCAGAGAAGATTTATAAGGCAGTGGGGTAGATGGTGCTGTTCTCCAGCTGTCTGTCTTGAGGAGTTTCCTCACTGGACTAAACACAACATAATTTCTCTGTAATGTTACTGTGGAATCTTGGAAAAACATAATGTTCCTCCTGTTATGTACAATAGATTCTTCTTTAATTGCAGCAGCTAAAAAAAACTTCTATCTTTATAGCTGTGGAACCAAAGCAAAAAAGTTTATGGTCTTTCACTGTCAGCAGGTTTATGGAAAATTTATAGTATGTGCTCTGAGTTTATCATTTTTTGTTGCAATACTTACTAAAACTAGTGCTGAAAAATGCCTGTTTTAGAATAGAGTTTTTCTGTCTTTAAATTTTCCTATAAATTTAATAGCATTTGTGTATATTTATATATTTAATTTAGACATAGAAAAGTATATCTATATTTTGACTATATACTTTTGCATCCTATACTTCATATAGTATTTTTGGTTTATCTCCATTTCCCTCAAACTTCTGTTTTGTCTTGTCCAAAATGCAAAAACATGTCCAGGCTGCTACTTTTTCCTTTAATTTTTTTATTTAATCCTATATAATGAACTGATTTTGTTACCATTCTCTGACTACCTTTCAGAACTTGTAGTCAATAGAAAATTATTGATGTTAATGGCACTGAAAATTCTCAAACTTCCTTCCAGTTATTTGGAGAAGTTGAAATAATATCTTCTAAATTTTTAATTATCTGTTTTCTTTTTTCTGTTTCTGAGATCACTTCACTGGTTCCACAATATTTTCCATCAGTGGAAGAGGGCTACTTTTGGGGTTTTTTTAAGCTATATTTTAGTTTTGAAATGTTGGACCGATGATCCAGTTGAGCCAAACTGCAGTATGCATAGTCTGCTAACTTAATCTGACCACAGTTGTCATTTGTCAACAAATTAAAAAAAAAAAATAGATGCAAAGTATTCACCAGTTAATTAAAATAAACAGAATTTGCCTTTAGAAACATACCTACATATTTTTTCAGTTGTAACCACGGAGCAGCAGAAACATGATTTAGTTTTATTGTATCTGCACTTTATATTTTGTTAGTGTAATCAGAAGAAATTCCCCACTCTGGAAAATCTGAGTTGAGCACTGGAACTCCAGCCTATCTATAAAAGGAAAACAGACTGAAATTTTTAAAAGAGGAACACAGGATTTAATCAGTCACTTTCATTTATCTAAACTGTTAATTTCTCATTTCCATGAGAAGTGTAATGCCTGAGTCCTCACTGTTTCATCCCAACTAATTCTCGTTGAAAATCCCTCTGTATGAAGATGCAGTTTCTGCTTTGATCTTTGCTAACATGTCTGTAGTGCTCCTCAGTCACAGTGGACTAGTCCCTCCTACTTCTTCAGTATTCATTAAATGCTGTTTTCTTTCCTTCTTGTGCAGGAAGAAATCTGGATGGATCAAAGCCAAATTTTATTTGTATATTCCCAAACTTCAGAAATATAGCAAAACCCCCAATCTATATCTGATCTTGAGTTAGCAAATCTTTAGATTTTGTATAAGCAGTTCCTCTCTATTTTTATATATCTATGTATCTCCTGTAGTACATGCTCAGCAACTCCAAAGCAATATTAGACTTTGATTAAGGTGAAATACATAGGGCAGCTTGGCTGCAGCTGAATCCACAATAGTTGAGAAATTATTAGACCTGAGAATGTAGACTACCCCATTTTGAACACAACATCTGTCTAGCACTGGAGAGGAAGGTGCTGCAGCCAATTCATGTTTTTATTTACTCTCTCTTGTTACTTACTGCATGTAATTTAAAACAAAAAACCCAGAGTGAATGAGACAAGTCCTTCTGTATGAGATCTGCATAGTTTTAAAGGCATACGTGATGTGGGGTTTAGAAAAAGCAAGTTTTTGCATAAACGTTTTGCTGGAGAGCTCTAAATTCCATTGCTAGATCCTGTACCCGTTCCCATACTCTAATATTTCCATATTCTAGAGCATGTAAAATCTGAAATGTAACAGATCAGATTAAAGTGAGTCGTGAGGTAAGTCCTGACCTTTAAGCAAAAAATACCAGGTTTTAGAAATGTTGATCTCATTTTTTTGAGAGGCAAGTCCACAGGTGGGTGCACCCAGTGCCAACTCTGAAGCAGGGTGAAGTAGCAGTGTTTGTTACTTTAGAGCAAGCAGCACATTCTTTACTATGCAGGACAAGAAAGGAAGCAGCCCTCTAGTAACTTTTTGCAATTCAGAGTTTCATTATATCTAAAAGCCCATATATAGTAAGCAGAATCAGAGCCTGATTTTTTTTCAGTGTAGAAAAATCAAAAATTCAGCTTTTTCATGGGATTTGGCTTGACACACCCTCCACCTCACCCTTGCCCTTTCTTGCTGTCTTGCTTTTCTTCCACAGGAAAAGTAAGTCAGACATTGCAGGGTGCTGTCACAGAGGTTCTCAGCCAATCCCCAAGATCTTGTTTGTGGCACTCACTTTTTTTCCTCTCAAGATGTGTACAAGGCTGTGTGCTGCATGGATACTGCAGCCGTCTGCTGCTGAGCCCTTTCAGTGGGAGGGCTGTGGCTTGTGGAGAGCTGCTCATAGGGTCTCTAATTCAGATGGTACACAGTAGAAGTGATGGTGGTTCAAGTTAAGCCTACAGTATGTTTAATGCTCTTTACATCTGATGGAAATTTTAAATATTTCACTCCCTGGAAGCACACCACTTCCCAAAAATAATTAATGAGGTTTTTAAAAATTGCATGTAAGAAGCACAGGGCACACTCAGAAGTCAACTCTTTGTTTGCTTACTTTCTGATTTTTTGGTTCTGACTTTGTTTTTCTGTGTTTTCTTCCCTTCTGCGTAGCTATTACACTGGAAGATTTTATTTCATATCAATATATTAGACAGAGCATACATATTGGATAATGCTTCAGATAAAAATTCAAAGTCCGTTTTGTAGCACACTATAGAAGTAGATACTTTTTATGGCAGGTAGATTCACATTAATTCTCAGATTATGCAATTTAATAAGGGATGATGCCTTTTCTATGTATTTCAAAGCACAAAATGAAACGTGTCAGGGTGACTGGCTTAAACTTGTAG